TTTACTGTGATTCCTTCAATAATGCGTGTGATCAGAAGAATATGTCTCGTATTACAACATGATAAGGGAATGGTATGTTTTGACCTCAGCCGAAGACTAAAAATTTCATCGCCGAATGTGGGAACTTAGAAAACATAATTTGTTTTAGAAAATAAGCGAATACATATCCCTGAACTTACATTCAAATATTTTTATTTGATAGAGGGTTTCGGCTGACTTTTAGCCACCCATAAGTTGCATGATTATTGCTACATGGGCCTGACCATTTTATTTTTTCACTGATCAGCCACTGCTAATGTTAATGGTTTTTAACCATTAGAGTACGTTTACCTCGATTGCATACTTTATCAGAATTTAGGATTTTTTCTCTGACCTTACAACTAAACTGTCAAAATCATCAACAAAGTTGGCCAGGAACTGGGTTAAGAACCATGGTTTATTTTATAAGTTAACCAGTGAAGAAATTCTATATCCACTTGAGCAGCTAAATCACAATCTAGGCAGTATTTTGCGAAAAGCAGTGGAACACATACAGAACAGCTGAAAGATAAGGATAGAAATGCTGGGACATTGACGCGATCTCTCTAGCTGCTCACCCGCAACATGATATAGTCTGCATCGGACTACTAATTTGGAAGGTATGATTTGGCTGATACGTGAATGGCGTCTTTCTTCACGGTGGAATAGTAATAATAACAAACTTTTGATAAGCATAATTAGACTGAAGCCGAATCATCATGCGGCGGGTCCAGCAATCTTCACAAGCCGCTCTATTCTTAGTTATTACAACTGGAAAAACTGCCTGCTTAGTCACTTACAAATAGATGGACTGTGGAACAGTTTCCGGAATCAAGTGATTTCGCCTGTTAGTTTTATTAAGGACCAACGTAAAGTTATAGCTACCTTAATGCTCTCGCTTAGTGTAGTCTATGCTCAGCCATATTTATTGAGCACTGCTGATATCTTCATCTACATTGTTTGATTGTCGATATCATTCTTTTGATTCTCCGCAATAACGTTTTATTCTTTGGAGTTCACAAATTCATGGCCGTAGTTGTCATGTTCAGTGTGTTTGCAATCCAAGGTTCAATTTTATTGTCGGTAAGAATGAGTTTTGTTTTTTGCTGTTTATGTCCATAAATAACTTACTTACGCCTGTTACTCCTCGCCAAGGAGCATAGACCGCTCACCAGCAAATAACATTGTAACCAAATTAATTTTATTGTATCAGTGACTGGAATTTGTTGGTGCTGCTGTATAAATCTGCTTTTCGTATCACTATTGATTGTTATGTTCCGGTTTTTCAGTTGGTAGTAGTTAACTAAATAGAATTGAACCATTGGTTAGGACGTAGATGCTCCTGACAAATTAAGTACTTTATATTTTTTTAATGCTTTGCTGCCTGATAGTGCGAAGTTGTACAGTAAATAAACTTTCTCCGCTCCAGTGACCAAACAGTTTGATAACTCAGTTTTTCATTATCAACCAAAAATTAACGCACATGGTATACTTTAGATTTCATTGAATAACTCTGCAGGGTGTATAGCTTCATAGCATTATTCATTTAGGCATTTCTTATGATTCGTGTTGATGATTTTGGATCAGACACAACTAAACGGTATTATTTTGATTTTGCCTGTGGTGAAGAAATACTATCCAGCGCATCAAGAGGTGTACGGAACTTGAAGTATAACATCTTGGGGGAAACGTAGAGATCCATCTCCAAATATTGTGACGTAAGTCGTGGTATCCACAAAATGGTTGGACAAACATCTCGGTGGAGACACGGCGGTTTCAGTTATAAATGCTTTTATAAGTGAATTTACGGCGTGATATGAAGAGGACTAGACCACCTACTATAGAACGACCAGATTCTAATGGAGAACTCTCATGTTCACTGTCCTCACGAGTAGCATCAATCATGATACAGTCATATTTGGAATAGTTATCACTAAGATACTGCAAACTTATGACAATAATTCAAGTCTCTCTTACTTCTGGGTGCACCATACAAATGTGTGTGAGCATTTTCAGCATGCTTTTAGACCATAGGAGTGAAAAAACGTAACAAATGACGGGCAATAAATAAGTGTATGAAACATGTCGAAATGGGAAAAAAGTTGAGAAAAGAACAGTATTGCTATCTAATGCATTTAAGAGGAATTTGCGAAGTAATCATCTTGTTAAAATACTCGATTAACAAGAGTTTAGATAATAATAATATAAATTTCTGCAGTGGCAGTTACACGTTATTTTTACAGACATGGTCTACAAATTAAAACATTTATTTTTCCATAGTATGCATGTTCAATAAATATAGTCTATAAAAGTGAATATCAGCTAATTCCTTCAGATATCGTATTTATGCAATGCAAATTTCACAGTTTATAGTTGTTATAAAGTAGACTTGTAGAGCTCTTGGTGTAAACTATGACCTTGGGAGAACACGTAAATCTCGTTTGTTCCAGATGTCAAAAGTTCCATATCTGTGCCTACAGAGCATGATTCTAAAAGAAGAAAGAGAAACCGGGGAGCAGCAAAGCACTTGGATATGAACGCTAAACAATACTTAACATTTTATAGTGGAACAGTAAGATGTATAATAAATCATCATATTAATTTATACTAGCTCTTGTTGCCAGGGTGAAATGTGATCAGAGGCTCCAGATGAGAGAATGTAGTTACCAAGAATAGTGAGTTGTGATATTTACCAATGTGGAGTAAGTTCAAATGAAGCAAGGGAAGTCAAGGTTGGAATAAAGAATACTGTTTATTGGAACGGAAAGTGCATATAGAGAGAGCAAAGTATTAGAACGAATGATTATATTTTTACTGTCCGATTTTTCTTTCATCCGATGTCTGTCACATAGTCTTAATTTAAAAGTCCGAGTTAGCATGTTATAGGTTGTCCTAGTAGCGTAAAGTTGGAAACATGAGTCTGAATGGCGAGCGTAGGACAACAACCTGAATATCACAGATTTATTGACTTGTTCTCAACATTAAAGAGCCTGATACAAACAAAATGTTCTGCCCCACAAACATGGGTGGACTGAAGTCATCGCCCTCACCATCAATGCTTGCTAGTCAGTAACTCCACCATCCCTCCTTTTGTGATGTTAGGTTCATTTGAACTTATTTTTGGATATATATCGTACCTCACTCCGTGCTCTGTGTTTCACATCCTGTTGGAAAACACTATTTCCATAAGCACCGTTTTTCAAGCTTATCAGGCAGTTACAAATTATGAACCGTGGGTAAGTCATCGATGAGATGCTTTAATTGATTATAGTATGAAGTATATGTTGCCAATCAGAGTATAGGCTATAAGAAGGGTATATTGTAGGATGGTTGTTTAACAAACTGGGCGTAAAAGTATAAAAACATATGGATTATGGATATGGTAACGAGTGGTGAAATAATAATTATGGCAAGTCAACAAAGTGTACTGGTGAGTATAAAGTTGATAAAGTATAGACAAGAAGGTACTCACATTAACTTCGTGTTGATGTTATTTTGTAGGTGTAGAGGATATAGAGGATGGTCATTCGAAATGCGTCCATTCTGAGTCAATCTCATTATGACACACTGTGATCTGGCACTATATAAAGGATTTTTTATCTAATCCTTTCATTGTTTCGTCTGTAGACTTTCTGAATGGAGTGCGAGGTAACCATGCAGGAATTTGCTGACTGTTCTGCACTGGTCGCAATAATGTGTTATAGAGCACAGCGGCATGAAATTAAAGAATTCAGTTTAACTTTTATAGCTTTAACATTTTTTCACCCTTTTTACTTATTTCCTCATCTCACGCATAATTCTCAGCCGCCTTTTAAAATTTTGATTTATTTATCTGTTAATTCGAACTAGGAATGCAATCTCTTAAAAAACTTTGGTAAAATAAAAATCATAATAAGTGATTAGTCTCACTACCGAATATGGTTATAAAATAGTTTGACAACCAATAAATGAACATTCAGACGGTTACTGTTCAAAAAGACACAGAATTAAGGAATAAGAACTTCCAATTTAAATTCAATGGCACATAACTTTATTATAATACTAACGCTAATTGAAACAAATAATAATAAAAAGTATCTAAAAGACACAGTATTTGTATCAGTCATTCATCACAGTCAAATTATTCACTGCCAGGACTTTAATGGTCGAATTTTTAGACTTACTTCATCAGCCATGTGGTGGACCTAATAAAAGAACTCATTTGAGATATAGCCATACACAAAGCTAATAATAATGTATAAAAACAAAAATAAATACTTGTAAAGCGAAATGGTCTAATATAAGTTAGAAGACGTTAACAGAATAGCAATCAAACCAAATTGGTGTATCAAATAAGAAATAATAATGATCGTTTCGGAATTAACGTCGTTTGTAAACTCTTTCTGGGGTAACTACAACAAACGGAGTTTATTCTATTAACAAATGTTCTCTACGGTTGGCACCGACGGTGTGAAGTGGAATATAAACGCGATACCGTTGTTGAATAATAATCCAGCCCAAGAGTCTTGCGTAATGTTGGAGGTCCTCACAGGATGTCGTAGCAGTATTAAAATCGTGAGTTACAGGCTGTGGCAGATAAAGTAGAAAAGTGGATGACGTAGATAGAATTTATTTCATAACCACCAGCAAAGTGTGTACTAATTAATTAATGTTCATTCGTAGATGATGCAAACAAGTAATAGATACTGGAAAATAAATGCGATTATACATCAGGCATCATAAATAAAAACATGATATAGTCTCTATCTTTCGGTTACAAAATTTATCAAATATATGTCACCGTATAACTCCCTCCTTGGAGTGTAGCGATTAGCAAAGACCTATATACTTTACCCCATTCAACGCCAGTTCAAGTAAATTAAGTTGTCCATCCCACCTTCTCAAGGTGATGATAAACGCTCTGCACATTGTACAACTTTGCGGAAGACTTTGTTTAAATATGCAGCTTATACATTTCTATGGTGTTAAATTAGTCCGCATATATGAACTTGCTGCGCTACCAAATAATTTTACTGGTGCAGTTTTTGTTAATATTATATGATTTGTTTGCCAATGCATCTTCTGAATTGTTTAGTCACGTCAATGTTAACCTTTCAGTTATATATGTGTAAGAACATCCCAACATGTAATTAATGATTTCTTCCTAGTGTTCAGGATCTATGTATACTTTTCTGTAGTTTGATTTTTTGCTTACTTCTATCAAGCACGTTTGTTTTTCAAGCGGGTTACATAAATCTCCTCTTGTCACAATTCAAAGATGCTATACTTGTTACATTGTGCTATCTGATTTTGAGTATTTCTTTACATTGCTGGGGAGCGGTACGAAAGTTTATAAATCTTACCCATTTTTAGATATGGAGATGGAACGATCCTGCTAAAATGCCTTCTTCAGTCGGATACCAAATACTCTTTGCTTTTCAGAGGACATGTAAGTATAATGACTTTTTTGAATCTCATGCATATTTGTAAAACCATGCTCAAGAAAATGTCATTAAACACTGGTCTTCTCAGTTTATGTTCACATATAATGTTTCAGTTTAGTTTAACTACGAAATCGAGCTTGCAAAGTATCTTGGTGTAAAACAGGGACATTTTTGTTTTACCTGAAAACTACTTTAAATAGTATTTTTCTAAGAAATTAACAACCCAGATATTTTATATGAAAATATGATATTCTACTTCCGGTTTCTAAGCAGTGAAGATTCTTTATTCTTACAGTTTTAGCTGATAAACGCAACTACCTGTACATTTGACTGAAGAAAACTTCGTCGAATTGGTAAAAACTGCATGATGGAGAGATGTTATGTAATACCACACTTTAAAGTGCGAATTACTTACGAAGCATGCATATTTCTGACAGAAAAATGAACGCGTTTAAGATTATTGAAGATGCTTAGCTACATTCTAAAAATAACACAACTGCATACGATCTCATACAGTAATCCACATAATCATGTAATATATTGTGGTGGACCAAAAATTATATTAACTCATGCCTATCTCCACAATGTGAGCCATCTCGCTGAAAAATTTGCCTCTCAACGTTATGGTCTGTAGCCTGGTTTATTCAATGCTTTGTTTCGAAGGTCATATTCATGTGTGTCTTGGGAAAGAGCTATATTACATGTGGAATAAGTAGGATTTTTGAGGAGTGTGAAATAAAGAATCAAATTGAACCTAAGGGGTTCTAGTCCTAAGATATGGCATAGGGAAATGTAGTCAATGGGTGAGTCGTTCTTAAGTATTTTGCGAGTGAAATCTCGTTGTATTCCTTCCACCTTAAGTATATCGGATAAGTTTAGGTTGAAAAATAAGAACGAGCAGTATTCAAAGATGGGTCTTGCGCAGACTTTATAAAGAATGATTTTAGTTTCATTTTGAAAGAAATTACGAAGAACGAAGCCAAGCAATCTCCAAATTCTAGATGCTTTAGTTGAGATATGTTCAGAGAGGTTAAGACTCTCTGAGTAATGTCCCCCTAGGTCGGTTGCTGATGTCAGTCTAAGCAGTGTGTTCCTGTTAAAAGCTCGTTTTATTTTAAGAGACGTGTCTCCTGTACATAGCTAGCCGCATTTTCTTTTTGTATTTAAGTACAAAATTTACTTGGTAAAGTTCTATTTGTTTGCTAACCGTGGCATGAAAGCAGGACAGCTAAATTATCAAGAGGATGCGTCAGGATAGATAGATATTTTATAATTTGACTTGGATGTAAGAGTACTTAAGTAGAATATTCATAGCATTTCAATCCAACTGTAGTATATGAAACCCGTTATTTGAATTAAATGGGTAAGTGGATCTATAGAAATGATAGTTCTAAAACTTACAATATTGTACTTCACTAAAAACAATGCAGGATTACGATTTCCGAAGTAACATAAGCGTGTCATATTAAAAATAAAGACAACTTTTAAGTAATAAATTTTTGAAGAATTTGCAACAATTTAATATTTTTATAGCACGTTTACTTATCGATTAATGTCAAGTAACATTTGTACCTAATTTTAATTATCAAATCATCTTATAGGATGTTCTATAATGAGTAAGTTAAATATGCACATAGATCCAATTAGCTTTCGAAGATAATCAAAATATTTTCATCCATTTTTACTGAATTTCAGTTTTAATTGTGACAACATAAATATGTTGATAATTCCGAGCTTTTCAAGCTCCTGTGTGACACAATGACCAAGAGTTATTTAAACAAAAAATCTAGTTTTTTAATTCACTTCATAAAGACCCTGCTAACAGGATTATGTATGTGACATCCATTTTCAATATTTGACGTGAAACTGTTAGAAAATAAGTAATAATATTTATTTATCCAATTACGCGAGCACACCGGATACACCGTGAAGATGACACCTCTTGCAATTTCAACTAAGAAGAAATAAAAACCAGTTATCTAGGCTGAATTTGGTTTTGAAATCAACAACCTAGTTTCAAACACTTTAAACGACTATGGTGCATTGTATAAAAGCTGAAAATAGCTGCGTCAAAATACTTTTAGAAATTCTAGGTGACATAACTCGGATATGTCAACGTGACACAGTGTATTACTATGGATAGTAGAAGCTTTACCGTTTCTCAACTATGTATTCTATTATAACTTCTATTCTACTTCATTTCTTTTTCCATGTACTTGGAAAACGGTAAATTGGACTGATTCACATTATAGAGGCAGATTCTTTCTTTATTTTGTACAGCTGAGCTAACATGACCACATGTTTTGTTTGTTTTTAATAAATTTTAATTAAGGGTCAGTATTATACTACTTTTTTTACAAGAGAACAATTTATCGACTAGGGGATTCTAGATACTATGAAGACTGTGAATGGATAAAGAAACAAATCGAAAATAATTCCTGAAGATAAAAATATCATGGTTTATATTAGAAAAACTGCATACTTCTGACCACCTTTGTATAGCAAACAACATGTTAAATAAATGATTTTATGTGCAAATTAGTTTACTTAAAATTATCCAAAAAGAATGTTGAAGATACTTTAGTTTTTAATTTGGCCTACTTACTTGCCAATTTCTCTTAATATTTTAACCTGTTCATTGCTGTATTAAAAACAACTAGGATCCAATAAGAAGGTTGTCAAATGAAATTATCAAGCTTTGTTCCTTAATTTTATAAGAATGTAAATTAACAACAATATTAATCTCAGAAAAATTCTATTCAACGGTAATAATTTGCTTACGGGGGTTAGCTGAATAATCGAGCCAAGACAAACCACTCAAGACTTTAGTATTTTCGCCTTGAAAACAATTATAAAACTTTTCTTGTGGAATCCGAATCGTACTGGAAACGGCCTACCGAAGTAGGGATAGAATATTAATACACGCCAAATTTACGGTTACGAATTAAGTGTAGCTGATAAATGTATTACTATACGAGTCAGTCATACACATCAACATAAGTGCCATAAGGAGGACCTACAACGATAATAGACAATTATTTGTTTCAAGAACTATCTTTTCTCAACAGAACTTGCTACTCTACTTGGCTTCTTACTCGGGCGAGTTCCACTTGGGTTAGAATTACGAACATTTATAATTAGCTAAATCTGAGACTAGAGTATGTCACTTTAGACTCATGTTGAGAATAGTGTCTTTAAGTTAGATATCTTGCTTCGCGGAGAACAAGTGAATTACTAACTGGACAGCAAAGCAATTACAGAGGATAAAAACTAGCACAACTAGGTCAGGCTTTAACCTGACTGACTGTTTTGAAGAATTTGCTCTAAGTATCTGAAGTCAGTCATAGGCACCGTGGAATCTCGTAAATATATGCGTAGGTTTGACATGCAACAAACTATCAACACAGTAGAGCAAAGTTATCCAGATGAATGTCGGTAAGCCTCGAGTGTAATATAGAACTATTCATGATCAGAAAAGTGACTTCATGGTCAAAGCGTGTAAACCAATCTTGAACGAAGTTTTTCAAATCATATTAAACCAAGGTGTTAATTGTGGACTACATAATGATTGCTTCTAATAAGAGAAATATTTACTGCTTGAAAGATGTTGGACTGTTGAGGAAATACTCACATGTGGATGAGGAAACGGAATAGCTGTTTAAGATTAGGATTATGAATTGTGATTTATATAATAGGCCTGAACATTGCTGCTGGTCTTAAACTTCAACGTTAAGGGACCTATAACCATATTAGAAAAGTTCATTATTCACTTGAAAACCAAACCACTAGAAGCATTAGCAGTGTTAGTGGTAGTAAAAATATAGGAGTAATGAATGTGATGTGCGAAAAGTGAATAAGTTTGAGGAATAAAAAGTACGACATAAATTTGAACGTTAGCGTCTACAGATAGACAAAAAAATGTTTGTCTGACCCAAGTCACCTAAAGTCTCCAACCATCGGTCACATTAACCATGTGGACACCAACCAGGTAGATTGTAATTAATAGCATGGTTCTTTGCAAGTCAAAGACTTCAGATACTGATCACATGTTTTGGCTTGGTCGCCTTTGTCATTCTCTCAAACTACTCAGATACCAGCCATCATCGCGCTCTGAAGTAGGCATTGATTGAGCAGATGCAATACATGTTATAACCGCTTCAGTCGATGAAGGTTCACTACCTTGTCAACCGATATACAATATTTACCTGGTACCTTTGTGATGTGAGCTACTTATATCCATATAAGTAATACACAACGATGGTCAGACATACAATGTATTTCAGTGGAAGATCGAGAGGGAAAGAACGGAAACGGAAAGCAATTGGTATGAAAAACATGAACAACGAAATCTGAGACGATGAACTGATATTTGTAAAAGGAACAGTCAAGTTTGAGACAATTGATTGATATTTTGCAAATTAAGTATTTGCTGTATGGTTCTCAGATTTTAGTGGGATTGTTCTGTAACTTTGTGCCTACTCATGTTCTAGTACACTACAACTTGAGTCCGATCTCAAAATTGTTAACTCAGCGGTCTCAACATGCACAACCAATGCTTTAAAAACACTTGTGATTAAATGCCTGAAATCTGTAAATGTCACATAATTTTAAAAGTCATAAATCACACTCATTAAAAAAGAACATAGCGAATTCCTATGAAGTATATTCATCACTCATTTTGATAGAAAAACTTCTCGCTTACGTCTCAAGTAATGCAAATCGATAAAAGATGATAAAACGGATAATTCATCAAATACCAATCCGTCTACGGTGATAAGAATCCAAGGATAAGTGAAGTGATCAACGCACTCAATTGCTTTGCTCTCGATGATCAATATAGACAATGAGTGACACAAGCAAGCCTCGATGCATAATTTTTCATTTACATGAAGAGGAATACAATCCAAACATCCTTGCGTTGTTGCTCAAGGTGATCAGAAGATTCCGTATACCTGTAGCTCTTCTATAATTACTGCCAGTTCCAAGCCCACACAAAGGAGGAGGGTTGGGCATGGGGTCGGCAACCTCATCTCGTAGGAAAAAATCTTGCCCTTTCTAATAACCACAGCAACAATGCTCCACACACTCAGGGAGTTGCTCCAATGCTGTCCAAAGAAGTACGAAATTCACTTGTAGGATGGAAATTCCACGGATACAGAATCATTCAAAACAAAGTAGGAGTGGGTCACAATGAGAGTTGTCCAATGTTTTGCACCCACAGACGATAGCAACGACGATAATAAAGATCAGTTTTATGGGAGGCCACAATAAATCATAGCGAAGTGCCCAAGAAAGTACCCCACCATTCTGATGGGCGATCTAAACACCAAAGTCGGAATAGACAACACCGGATATGAAGATATCATGGGACGACATAGACTGGGAGAAAGAAACGAAAGTGGAGAGAGATTTGCAAATTTATGTGCATTCAACAAACTGGTTATATGTGTCACAATATACCCACACAAACGCATAAAAAAGCCACAATGGTCTCACCGGACTACATCACAGAGAACCAGATAGATCATGTTTGTATTGTAGTGTCTGTCATTATGTTAAGCCCAAATACCTTATTATTCTAACTTTCGGACAGCCCATTCTATTCATTCTATTTGAGTCACATTCTGACCTTGTTAATTATTCGCTTATCAATGTCTTGACTGTCTTTGTATGAGCGCGTAGGCGTATGCACACTTCTTATCCCGTTACTCATCACATGTCTGTAATTTATTTTTGTGGGCTTATAAATATTCATTAACTCTTTGTTAAAGGGAGAGTTGGCTTACCAGCCATCTCCACCGTGCGCCAATTTAGCTTCGCTTTCTAATCTTTGCATCGCTCATTCGTTCGTTTGTCTAATCAACAATTATACGAAATATATGCATTCGAAACTCCATTCTCGTTATTTGACTTATTTAATTCCGTTATTAACTAACGCGATTTAAGTCAATGATTATATACGAGGATAGACGATAGCAACCAATCATTACGATCAAATTGGAGACAGATCACGGGCCACTAAAGTATCAATAAAAACTTTCGAAGAACAATTGAAGATGTGAGACACAGAAGAGGAACCGACATAGCTTCAGATCACCATGTGGTTGTGGCCAAGATGAAACTGGAACTAAATAAACACTGGACAACTGAATGAACAGCATTACAAACGTTTAATACAGTCTTCGAGATGTTAACAAACTCAACGAATTCAAGATAGCTCTCAACAACAGATTCCAAGCCTTAAAGGATCCATATGATAATTAGGAAAGCTTAAATTATAGTACAAACTAAAAATCCCAGAAATAACGCAATTTAACCAAGAAGTATTAGATGAGCACGAACAAACAAATTCTATTTGGAATTCAAAATCAAGCAATAAACAAGTAAAAGGGAATCATTAGTTCATACAAGCACCACAATCTACTGAAAGAAGAAGAAACTACTATGGAGGATAACTGGAAAGGCATCAAAGAAGTACTGATGTCAACGTGTCAGGAGGTTCTGGGTCGTTAGAAGCATCATCACAACAAATGGGTCTCTATTGAAACTTTGAACAGGATTTTAGAAAGGAAGAACAGGAAGACAGCAATTAACAACAGCCAAACATGAACAGAAAAAGTCAAGGCACATGCTGAATACACAGAAGCAAATGAAGAGGAACATTAGAGTTGACAAGCAGAGATTCGTGGAGGACCTGACAACGACAGCATAAAAAGCTGCAAGTGAAGGAAATATGAAACTATATGGTGGTATGAAGAGAAACTAGCAGGAAAATATAGTAAATCAGAGATGGCAGTCAGGAACAAACAAGGCAAGCCAATCACTGAGATTCAGGAACAGCGGAACAGGTGGGTAGAGCACTTTGAAGAACTCTTGAATAGACCAGCCTCATTGAACCCACCGGACATAGTAGCAGCGTACACAGATCCTTCTTTAGCTGTCACTACACTAACGACCGAAGAAATCAGGATGGTCATCAGACAAATCAAGAGTGGGAAAGCAGCAGGACTTGACAATATACCAGCTCAAGCACTGAAGTCAGACGTAGAAGTCACTGCAAAGGTGCTCCACATTCTGTTGAAGAAGGTTTGGGGGGAAGAACAGGTGCCGACAGAATGGAAAGAAGGATACCTCATCAACATACCAAAGAGATCTGAGCAATTGTGAGAACTACAGAGACATCACACTACTATCGGTACCAGGAAAATCTTTCAACAGAGTGTTGCTGAATCGGATGGAAGATTCAGTGGGCGCCCAGTTTCGAGATCAACAAGTCGGATTCCGTAAGCATCGGTCATACACAGACCAAAACGCGACCCTACGGATCATCGTTGAACAAACAATTGAATGGAACTCTTCACTATACATCAACAGCCTGGATTATGAGAAAACATTTATTTATTTATTTATTTATTTATTTGAACACATAAATATTGGTACAA